ATTAGGTGTCAACGATTAGGTGTCAACGATAGCCATGTGATGTGAGTATCAGTCACATCACAAAAGCCTGAATTTTGCCTGAAACTCTCAGACTGAAGAAGTCTCTTGGAGAAGAGACGAAACGTTTCATTAGAGAAGAACCCATCCAGAAGACCTATACAATTTTTTTCTTTTTGATTTTTTACCTGGATTACTGAGATGCATCAGTCTCTTTGATAGCAGTTGCCAGATCATCTTTGCAGGTCGGAGCCTTCTTGTGGACCATTTTTTTTCTATTTCCACCACAGGTTTTCAGTTGATTTGAGATCTGGACTATTTGTAGGCCATGACATCGTCTGACTGTGTCTTCTCCAAGGAATGCCTTCACTGTTTTTGCCCTTTGGTACGATGCAGTGTCATCTTGGAAAATTATTTCATCACCTCCAAACATCTGTTCAATTGAAGGGATGAGAAAACTGTCCAAAATGTCAATGTAAACTTGTGCATTGATAGAATAATTAACCACAGCCATCTCCCCAGTGCCTTTGTCTGACATGCTGCACCATATCATCAAGGACTGTGGAAATTTGGTTGTTTTCTTCAGKCAGTCCTCTTCATAAATCTCACTGGAACGGCACCAAACAAAAGTTCCAGCATCATCACCTTGTCCAATGCAGATTCTTGACTCATCACTGAAGACAACTTTCATCCAGTCATCCACAGTCCATGATTGCCTCCCCTTAGCCCATTGCAGTCTTGTTCTTTTTTTGTTTAGGTGTCAATGATGATTTTCTTTAAGCTTTCCTGTATTGAAATCCCATTTCCTTTAGGTGATTTCTTATGGTTCAGTCACATACATATGCTCCAGCTTCCTTCCGTCTATTCTTCATTTATTGTACTTTTTCAGTTTTCAAGACAAATRGCCTTAAGTTGTTTGTCTTGATGCTTTGATGTCTTTCTTGGTCTACCAGTACACTTGGCTTTAACAACCATTCCATGCTGTTTGTATTTGGTCCGTATCTTGGATACAGCTGACTGTGAACAGCCCACATCATTAGCAACCATGTGTGAAGAGTTACCTTCTACAAGAAGTTTCACAATCCTCTGTTTTGTTTCAAGAGACATTTCTCTTGTTGGAGCCATGGTTCTTGCAACTCCACTTCGTCCAGCAGCCCTCCAAGGTGTCATGACTGCAGGTGTTTTTAACTGTAGACTAACGAGCAGATCTAATCTAAGGCAGGTGTCAATTTAGGGAAAGGAAATTGACTGGGTGTATCCTTTTTTCTACCTCCAATTTGAGTTATTCCATATTTTTTTCCCTGTGCTTGATCAGTAAAAGTAACATTCACTGACTTCCACAATGTTTTCTCTTCATTTCTTTGAGTGTTCCTGAAAGCCAACAAGTAGCACTTTGTAATGACCTTTTTATTGACTCATGTTTTTGATTTGAGTTTGTTTTACAGAATGAAATGTCTGGATGAGTGCTCATCCAAGACTGGTGATTCCATACTTTTTGCCAGGTGTTGTAATTACAATGAGAACTGAAAGGAGTGATACCTGCAGAGACAGATATGTAGTGAGCTTCTATCTTCACTCTTTTTCCTTCAACAAACTGACAGCTGAACTTTCTGTTTCTGACATTTTGTTTCTTCACAGTCAGAACAGAAACACAGCCCATCTGTCTCTCAGACCTGTAGACATCATCTTCAACTGTCAGCTCACTTCCTGTCTCGTTCACCCAGAGGAGACTATTCTCTGGACAAGAAGGTTTGAAGCTCCTCAGAGAACACTGCAGAGTCAGATCTCCATCCTCTGTTGGACCAACATGTGATGCTGAAACTGAAGGAAAGCAGGTAAAATCTGTTGTTAAACAAGAGTTAAAGGAAGCAATAATTCATTTTTCTTATTTTCTGTCAAGAACTCTGAGGGTTCCTCTTGGTG